CTCGGACGTTATGAGGAGAGAGTCCCACAAAAGCAGTGCTCAACGACTGGATGGATCATCTCAAAGAGGAGTTCAACTCTACCGACCCTGCTGGAGCTCCCACCCCCACGATGGACAAGCAGGCAGACTGCGGAGCAGCTGTGGTGGAGCAGGTGATGGAAGCAAACACAAACCACGAGGCTAAGAAGAAGAAAAAGAAGAACAAGAAGAAGCAGAAAACTCGTGTGGAGACACCACCCGACTACACGGCAAATGTCGGGCTCGACAACGTGAGCCTGACGTCACTTGAAGCACGTGACCTTGACTGGCAGGATGAAGGTCGAGTACGGAGCTGTTACAAGACGTCCCCACAGCCTGGACACCTGAGCAGGGAGGCTGACACACCCACCATCCAGGACAAGACAAAGGACTGGATGTACTTCATCAGGAAAGCTGGGCTTGAGGAGATGATGGAGTCAGGACCCTACCAGGGACGAGGACAGGAGGACACCGGTCCAGGGCAAAACCACCAAGAACAAGCACAAGGCAAAGAAGGAGAGGCTTGTCCTACCCAGCCTGACTCCAGATCCAGGACTGATGCTGCAGGGAACCAAACTTCACACACCTGGTGAGTTTTGTAGTGTAGGAACCAAACTTCACACACCTGGTGAGTTTTGTAGTGTAGGCACTAAACTTCACACACCTGGTGAGTTTTGTAGTGTAGGAACCAAACTTCACACACCTGGTGAGTTTTGTAGTGTAGGAAGCAAACTTCAAACTCGAGGTGAGTTTTGTAGCATAGGTTTACCCACTGCTGCCCAACTTATTTCTATTTGACAATGTTGCTGCATGCATAATGCCTGTACACACAAGAGTATTATGCAGATGGCTAATCTAGTATATTGCACATTGCACACCAATGAGTTAATCTTCTATTTGTCCTGTTTTATCCAGGTGTGAGCCTCCCCTCCATAGGAGATGGTGTTCTCTCCACTGCTGCCAGACCCAACATCCCTGATGAGGACATGGGAACACAGTTGCCACCGGTGAGTCTTGTAGTTACACTGTGAATTCTGCACAGTAACTGCTGTAACCACTGTACTGTGTAAGGGTCTTGGGTTCTTGTATCATGACTGAGGGAGTACAAGTAGAGTGATTAGTTAGTGTAACATATCCTTCCCAGAGACAGAATGGCTGGCTCCTGCCATGTCCTCTAACCGTTTCTTCTCTCCATGATGCCAGCTGCAGCTCCTGTCCTGTTTCTAACTGTTTCTTTTCTCCATGATCCACACCAGCTGCAGTTTGGCACCAAGCAAGTCGGGAAGACGACATCAGAAACTGTGACCTTCAAACAGCCCAGCGACAAGTCCAAAGTCCGCAGCACCAAGCGTCGCCAGAAGACCGACCGCGCCTCACTGAAGGACAAAAAGTCCCAGAAACGGCGCCATAACAGCCCCGACCCCTCATCACCTGACTTGTAAGTTTGGTGGAACGGTGGATGCCTTACCATCATGCCCAGAATGTTTATTGGCAATGATTCATGTGTGTATATAACTATGTGTAAAACTGTGTGTATATAATCATATGTAAAGCAGTAGTGTGGTACATTATGCCAGTGCAATCTCTTCTGTTGAATGCACAGCACCTAAAACTGTGTATATATATACAATCATATAATCATATATATATAATCATAATGGGCAACATGTCTGTACAGTCTGAGCCTAATGTTGAACATACATCACCTAACAGTATATTTGACTATATGTAAACTTTGTCGGCCATTATGTCCATGCAATCTTTCAGTTGTTAAATGTACAGCACCTAAAACTGTGTGTATATATAACCATATGTAGAACTGTGTTGAAATTATGCCCAATGCAATCTCTCAATTGTTGAATGTAGTCTGAAACAGTATGTTTCTACACACCTGTGCAATCTGAGCATGTTGTTGAGTGTACAGGACCTAAAACTGTGTCCATATTTAATCCTGATTCTGTAATCTGTGTTGCATTATGCATGTGCAATTTCTGTTATTTACCTTGAGTCCTTAAACTGTGTATATATACAATTATCATATGTACAGCTGCGTTGCCCATAATGCCAGTTCAATCTCACTTGAATGTACAGTTGTTAGGATGTTCAGATACTAATTATGCTGGAGAGACAGTTTTCATACTTTTTTGCAATCTTTATTGTACAGTCCCTAGATACATTTTGTTTAGGCACAAATTATGCTGGAGACAGAATGATATAATAATACATGTATATAATTTCCTGTACTGATTAACCCAGGCAGAATGTTTAGGCACAAATTATGAGGGAAAACAGAGAGACAGAGTAATACCAGGTTATTTTTCTGCAACATAAAGACAAAATGTTGAGTAACCATTTCACATAATGTAATAATTATATCTTGTATGTATGGAAAAGTATTGTTGCACATTATGTCTGTGCAATGCTTTTTTGTATACCAACATGTAGTTTTGTATAATGACAATTGTAGTTTGTATACCGACATGTATTGTATACTGACACATACATGTACCTTTCGACATTTTGGATATAGACATGTAGTTTTGGATACTGACAGTTATTGCTTATATAATGACCCGGGCATTTTTGTATGATACAGCACCAGATTTGATGTTTTGTTGGGGAGAAAAAATTGATTTCCTGCACCTTTTGTACTGCACAAAATATGCTGGAAAGAATGTGACATAATCATTGTTATAGGCTGTAGGAGACAGTCCATGTGATTTTCCAACACTGCAACAGAACCTACAGGTCTTCCACACACCCCTACAGTAGTGTAACGGTCAGTGGACAAGTCTTCAGACTTGTACAGGAACTGGACACTCCCCCTCCACAGGTCCTACTGCAGACCACCTCATGTGTACGTTCCTGCACACTCCAGTCCTGCTCAGGGTTACATGACACAGTCTGTCATAGATGGCTCACATGAGATGATCCCACTCCAACTACACCAGACCACACAGTACAGTTCCACTGCAGCTGGGGTGGGGGAGGGGACGTCAGGACCAACTCCACAGATAGGAGACACTTGTCTCTTTCAGACTGTTCAGCTTGCTCACACTGCCCCATCTGTCTGGCATGTCTCTGTGAGGTTCAGTGAGAGATTGATGGCTGCCCTGCACCCGACCTGCCAGTCGGGATGTCGGGCCCCATCCTTACTGGACACCACAAACCATGTCAGATTGTTAGCGGTGATGGGGGGTTGGACTAGTCCGTCAGGAACTTGTGCCTTCTATCTGTGGAGTTGGTCCTGACGTCCCCGCCCCCACCCCAGCTGCAGTGGAACTGTACTGTGTGGTCTGGTGTAGTTGGAGTGGGATCATCTCATGTGAACCATCTACGACAGACTGTGTCATGTAACCCTGAGTAGCACTGGAGTGTGAAGGAACGTACACATGTGGTGGTCTCCAGTAGGACCTGTGGAGGGGGAGTGTCCAGTTCCTGTACAAGTCTGAAGACTTGTCCACTGACCGTTACACTACTGTAGGGTTGTGTGGAAGACCTGTAGGATCTGTTGCAGTGTTGTAGAATCACATGGACTGTCTCCAACAACCTTTAACAATGGTAATTCTACATTCTTTCTAGTTTCTGTTGCAATGAACAGTAATTCTATACACCTATGTGGACTTGTGATGTTCTGTATTTTACAGGAAGTCTGGACTTAAGTAGCTAGCTTCATTATTTGTAGAATTTTTTTATTTCATGTGGACTGTATAATTATATAATTTTAATGCTCATACACTGAATGTCAAGGATTTTCAATTCAAACTTAGCAACTGAAAAATATAACAAACAATGCAATATGACTTACACAAACTCCCACTCTCAGGGTGACCAAGTTACACAGAAACACTGCTATAACAGAGATCAGACTTCATCTTTACATCTTTAGAACTGTGTATTAGTGTTCATCACAGATTTACCTGTATCATAAGACTCCAGCATGATTGGTTGTACAGCTGTCTTTCCACCATGTTAAGCCATGTAGTATGTTACTGTAACATTGTAATGCATCTTCTAGTTTTTGTTGCATTCTGATCTGGAAGTTTTCATTATTAACAATTGTATACGATGTGACAGAAAACATTTGTGGAACTGCTATTGTGTGGTATACATGTAAACTGATGTATATATCTGTAACAGTTGATTTCACAGGTATGTAATGTCTTAACATCAGGTTAGTCCACGTAATGTACAACATTGCATGTTTTCATTTTTATTATACTGCTCTGAAAATTTTCATCTGTAACAATATACAATAAGGAATAGAGTATTTGTGTAAACACCACT